AGTTTTGGCCATGAAGCCCTGCTGCCCTTCCTCCAGGAGCTTACACCTGTGAACAATGCCACACCTGAGACACACATCACAGCTCCGAAGCCCGAATTCTCCTGTTCGTCCATAAGAGGTCTAAAATTGGTGACTGTCAAACAATTTAAGTGACCCTGATGAAATCCTTTAACCCTTACCCTCACCTTTTTTAATCCTCATGCTCCTTTCAGCCTTTTCTAATGAAACTGTCCATTGGGATGACCCTTCTCTAGCAGGAGGCCATGCATTCATAAAGACGAACCAGCAACTTGCGTTATAGAAGTGAGTTATTAATAAGATTTAGTTTTTAATTGCTCTGTACCGAGCTTAAGTACAGGAAATTGCAATTTTAGTATGTAATATAGTTACAATCTGTTAATCTGCTATGAAAACTGGTCTTACTATAAAGTCACTTTGCACAAAATGTGCTCTTGCTACCACTAGATGTCAGTTTTACACACTTTAAAATGGACCAATACCTTAAAAATTACTATTCTCTGTTCACAATAGAAACATCTATTATGTCGTTCTTTCTTGACTGACCTTGAATTTTAAGGATTTCACATTTTATTTACCTTTTTCTCTCTAGCCCCCAACACCCCTCATGCCACAGTTCTCCTTTATCTAAGAAAAAAAGACCTAACATTTTCCACTATGTATTTAGTCCGTGATTTACTCAGTCTGAGATACTCTGACAGTTTTTGCCAGGTATTGCTGGCAAAAGTCTGTAGCTCAGGTTGCATTTCTAGAGGCCAGCACTGAAATCTTACTTTTATTCCACAAAGATATTTTTATATTCCATAAGGACATTTTTACTAAGAACTGTCATAACTTCTCTGACTAATTACAGATAGGCTACTATGCCAGTTAATAAAGGATATAATTAACATGGCTCATTACATTTCTACGATTTTTCAGATTTTTATTTATATTGATTGCCTAAATTTAGATAATTTTTATTTACACTCCAAATTTCTGTCTCTCAGAAGTGACAAATGTCACTGTAGTCTTTTTGTCAATACCAAACAGTTTTCATAAACTAGTCTTAACATAAATTTGGCCATAGTGAATACAGAACTTCTGTATCATGCATTTACTTTAGCATACCAAAATGAAATTGCTTTATGTTAAGTAAATGTCTTTACTTCCCTCCCTCCTCCCAAAAAAGAAGAAAACTAGGAGGAAGTCAAACTCATTATGCATTATTACATTTAAGTGTACTTATACATACACAAAAAAAAAAAACCTCATTTCACAGCAAACATTGGTCCAAAGTCACGCGTGATAAGAACAGGCAGCTACAGAACATAACTCTGCATTGTTGTAAGGCAATGACAAGACTGTCACCTTCCATGCAGCTTTACTGCCCAGAGATTGACAGCTTATCTAGCAACACAGTATGTTTGTTTACCATAATGTCAAAGGAATCCCCTCATTCTCATTCACGTCAAAATCTGACCTTTTCAAACTTCTACTGATGCTTCACAGCTTTCCAGGGTTGTTCAAGGTATTATTTGCACCTGTAGCCATCACCATCTTACACAGGTGCTTACCTACCAGAAGGGCTGGAAAGTAAGGAAGGGGAAAGATGTGCTTCTATGAACTCAAAAATATAGTTGAAAAGACTGTATCAACAGCCTTTTTCAAAGACATCTGAAAACTTTTTTGAGGCAACAACGTTATTAAAAACATCCCCTAGCACAACCTCAGCTAGGAACTGTGAAAACATGGCAAAAAAATCCAAAGCAAATGCAGAGGCCAAAACACATGAGGTCGCATGACTTCTGACAGCAACATTTATGACTGAGGAGCCTTCCACAGAGAAGTGCTATGCCTGGGGTAGGCAAAGGTGCCACATATGCTCTGTGTTGTTACAACGTTATTATTCCATTCCCCTTATCTTCCTGCCGCACTTACTCAGCTTCCTCAACCAGGACTCCACTTGCATGCTCACTATCCCTTATCCACCTCCCAGCCATCCTCTACACGCCCCCAAGAGTGCAAAATGCCTCAAGTCCCACCCAGTCAAGGCATGTAAGCCACATGCACACACACTGATCGCTTGCGAGCCCATGCACAGAACCAGAGCGCCTCAGACATGCCAGACCGCTCTGGATGTACTGCATAGTCCACGTGCACGAGGCAGTTTAAACTTCTCCAAACAGAAATACATAAAACCCACTTACAGGTCTGCAGCTCTAGATTGTACAGAAATTTACCTTCTCTTCGCTTTTGATGTAAGGTGTCCCCTTTGTCAGCACCCATGCTGGTAAGCAGCTACGGCAGGATAGGCTCGGGTCCAAGAAGTGCTTCTGCAAGTAAAGGAGCAAAAGACACACCTCAGACATTTGCACCATTACAGCCTTTCTCACCCTCCACAGCAGTGGTTGGATTGATCTGCAAGCTAAGAATTTTGGTTACTCAGCTACCGAGCTAAACAAGTGAGTTGCTGAGAAAGTTGATGTTGGGTGAATAAAGGTGAATGAGGAAATCAATAGCATGTTAAAAGGGAACGTAATTTTTATATGCTTTCCAAATTGCACTCCAATATGAAGCTATAAACATAAAACAAATAAACACCCCACTCTGTCCCTTTAGTTCCTCATTGTATATTTGGCAACTCAAATCCCTCCAGGAAAGAAACTACTTTAACTTCTTCTTTATCACATATATTCATTTGCAACTTATTCCACTCATGCCAATATGAATCACTAACAACACATATCATAAGCAACAGCAGAAGCAATGGGTAATTAAAACCTGGAAGCATTAGTCAACTTCCTACAGAAGCTACCATGTAATTTCAAAAGTGTTGACTTTGCAAGATATTTTCATACTCTTTCCTAAGACTGGAATTTTGTTACAAAAAAGCAGCAGCAGCTCTTAGTTTCAATCAATAGCGCATTTAAAGAATAAAAAAAAACCTTTCAGCTGGACCCACAGCTATCAATCTCTTCAAACTTCAGAGGGACTCACAGCTTAATTCCCCCCACTGAAAACTGTCTTAGAAAAAAAAAAGAAAGAAAAAAAAAAGAAAAAGGAATAAAGTTAAAACTCTCTCTATAAAACATTCGCCAACATAGGAATTGCTCAGGCCCATTGCTTCCTTCACTACCAAGCTCCACCATGCACACAGCCTGTATGGAAATGCATGTGTGCTCAGGCAGCACGTTCCAGCAAACATCATTGTGGAAGGACAGAGAGATTTACACAAGCTATTTGTCTGAAATCACCAAGCAATTACACCCCAACAACCTTAACGCACACAAGCAAACGTTTAAATAATCTGTTTTGCAAAGAGAATGAGCAAGAATCAAACCCTTACAACAAAAAGCATAGCTGCTGTCTCCTCCTGCTCGTTTAAAAGGTGCAAGAGTAGGGAAGGAAATGGCCCTAATGCTCCTGGTCATTGATATGCAGAGGCAATTTGGTGAGTCACCACTTCAGCTGATGTCTGAACAAGCCCAGATGGGCCTGTATGGCAATCAGATGGCTCAATACAGTTTTAAATTTCCCCAGGAATTTGGTGATTTCTAGATCTGCTAGATCATCTGCTAATTAACATAACATCTACACGGAGATATATGCAGCTGCTTTTTTGTCACAGTATAATTACAGGCTAAATATTGTATGTACGGGGTTCTCTACTGTCTGAAATGGCATATTTTCACAACAAATACGTCAAAGAAATGCAGAGATTCACTGGAATTTAAATACGGACTGAGGAAATATGTTTTCTCTGAGAACTTACATGTTCTGCACTTGATCTCCTCTCATACAATCTTTATTAGTGTTTCCATTTATATGGCTGATAAAAACACATGTATCGTGCTGGTGAGATGGTGAGAGAAGAGGTAAAATAGTTTGTTTTGGGACTGATGGCTGGGGTGTTATTTAGAAAAACACAGACCTGGGCATATAGCAATCATACTAGAGTGAACTCAATATCACTGAGTTCACGGAAAAGTATCTGTTTCAGAAATTTCACATCCATTGTTAGGTGTGCCAAGGAAGTCTCAGGAAAAAGGCAAAATTAATTTCCTCTTTCTGACGTAAAAATAGATGAAGGGTTAGAATTGCATCTTTTAAATAGACATGTTTTCAGCCTGACCTATCTGCTGAAATCTATGCTGACAAAGAGGGTATTTTAGCATTGGCAGGTTTCTGGACAGAAACCATGCAATCCACACTCCGTCTGGGTACAATTCAGAGACTTTACTGGAAATTTTGCACTAAAGGAAAATCCATAGTTAAAAAAAAATGTTTACTTAGACTAGCTTAAAACTCTGACTTGAACACAAGCTGCACACTAGCTTGAACATCAAAAGCAGTGCAAAGACTCCTTGACACATTGAGCTGAAAGGTCTATAGAGCTACACAAACTTTTGAAATAATTTGGTGAAACTGTTTTCAGTACCTTAATTAGCTTATGCAGCTTGTGCAGCACTGTATGTGCCAAGGTGGCACACTACAAATTCTATTCCTTTTCATCACCAGCTTTTCATGGGTTGAGAAGTGATGCAGAACTTTAGAAAAAGAACAGACCAAACATGGAGTTAATGATATCCCAACCATTGTTAAAGTATCTTCCACTCAGCCATTGTTATACTAATCTGCTGATTTCAGTAAAAGAAACCCAAAGAAAGTCTGTGCTGGAGAGACCATATTAAATAGCTTGCTTATCACTTTTTGAATGATTCATTAACCAGCCTAATTTAATCTGCCAAACACCCAGTAAAATTCCAGTTTAACACCGTAGTGTGAGCTACCAGCTTTTTAGAAATGTTACAACAGGTCAGTAACAAAAAGTTAAGCATTAACCAAGATGAGACAAGTATATAGCTACAAAACTAAAAACTGTTTTTTCAGGTCTTTGCTTAGTTCACTCTTAAAAAAATGTCATGTCATTCACTTCATGGGTTGCTCTTGATTAAAATAACATTTATTTAAAATATAAAACCTATTTTCTTTCTTTTCAGAATATATCAGACTATGAGCTGAACCGATTCAAAATAATGCACCAGCCGTAAGTTTCTCATTATTTTCTGCTTCTCCATTGAATGACTACTATACTGCTGTACTCTGACTGTTTCTCTGTTAATAAATTAGGGAAAATGAGAACTGAAACCACTTGCTCATGTGAACAGCATTAATTGATGTGGGTGGAACTTCCTTAGGATTAGGATCCTGGAATGTTTACAAGAGCTGTGGTTCAGATCAGCTGACAGCTCTTCTGCTGGGTAATATTCTTCCTCAGAACAGACAGGGACAATCTTAATATTAGAAAAAGTACAAGTTCATCTTATTCCAGAATACAAAAGCTCTTTGCTTGTATGGTGTATTTTCGGAACTGGTTTATCTGCTGCTTAAGGATCAGTTTAAGTGATCAGTTTACCAAAGTGCTATGTTGAAAGTGATTTAAATAGAATTTAAATACAGTGTTGAATAAGCAAATACACATATAACAGTTGGGAAATGCCTTAATGTTTTTTGTGAAAAATTAAGTTCATTTAGAAGGATATCCATAATGTTCAAATATATAATTTCTCTTATAGTACTACACAGAAATAATATTAGGAAATCTTCTCTATGAGTCAATGAAACCAAGAAGACTTCAGTTTAATACAGAGGGTCTTGCTGATCTTCACCTAATGGTTGTTATTATTCTATGTAGCTTCCCCCCTCACCTGCTAGCTGGGAAAACACTGTATATATTTACAAATTGCTTTCTGAATTCCACTCTATTTGTAAGAAACTAGATGAACTTGAAGGGATTTTTACCCATTAAATTCCTATTCCTATTGACAGGAATTTGATGAGCACACAGGTAAATATTATTCTGGGTTTAATTTAATAATTAACTAGATAAGTAAAGAAAATATCAAAGGACTTTCTTGCAAAGCAATTAAGTCTAAGAGGACATCATTTTGAGAGAAAATGTAGAGAGAATTAATATAAAGTTAACCAAGGATATACCCTCTGTTTCTGTGATATACGTGAATCTTATCTACTACAACACTGGGGCAAACAGAAATCTATTGAACTGAGGCCAAGGGTTCCCCACTGAGGAGGGAATTCAAGCTTTGGATTCTCAAACTGTATATTGGAATAACTAAGGTGTTCTGCCATATGAATTCTGTTGTCCAAAGTATTAAAACTCCTTAAATGCACAGTGTGGATGTCACATCCCCAGTACCCACTTCCACTCTAAAATCTGTTACTCTTACATCATACTACTTGCTACTGCAAAAATTTGCCTGAGTTTGTAGCACTCAAACAGTTTAACTGGAGAAGGTCTATACTGATCCACCTAAGCCAGATGAACTGGCCTGTTCAAGCCTATTCATACAAAAGGTAATTCCCAATGGACCAAAACACTAAGGATAGATAAACAGAAGAGTAATTGCAAGATAAATTGAAACTAAAATTCTGTGTTTCTCCTGGCAGTGGCCAGTGCTTCAGTGCCTTAATAAAGTTTCTTCATGGCCCTTCATTAGACAGAAGCCAGGTTCTCTGACATGCCACCAGCAAAAGCTCTTTGCCTTTCCCATTCTAGTTCTCATTAATGCAACACTTGGCATTCTTATTTTCTGTAAGATTTTGAGTCTACAAGGCTATAAATGCTCTGGGAAATAAACACAGTTATTCTGCATTCTGCTGAGACATCTCATCACAGATATACATACCAGGAGCAGTTAGCAGCCAGCCATGGGTAAGCTTCCCTGACCTCTGCACCAAATACCTCCACTAACTTAATGCAAGGCTCTTTTCCCTCTATTCAGTACTAAACTTGTTCTCTAAGCAGGAAGAGACAAAATGGCTTACCTGGGAAGAGTTTATCATAGTAATTCTGTTTTGCTACTCTGAAGTAAACTTTTTTTGCACTACACTTTTCATGAAGTCTCTTACCGTATTCTGTGTTTTCAATCAGTGTTGGCTTTGACAGCCTAATGACAGCCTGATATAAACTAGTTCCCACCAACACTTAAAGCCACAGGTCTACCTTGATTGCTTCTCAGCAGCTGCTAAATCTTTGTAGGGAAATTATCAAGGTGCAATCTTTACTAGTGTCCTGTCCTGTCCCTGAAAAGCAATAATCAAATATTTCTTTCCAAGTCACTAATCCAAATCCTTTCTGGAGCTGGCTGCTGAAGTTGTGCAACAAACTGCTCTCACAGGTTTACATGTTTTCAGCAGTCCTGAAATCATGTTGAAATCTTGAGCTTTGCTTAAAGCCCTTCCTCCTGTGAAAGCACCATTGTATTTTTCACTCCACACATCAGACTCAGTTGATACACCCAAACCACTGAACAAGTTCACTCTCAAGAATGCCAGTACAACTGCATTTTCCACATACTTCCCATCAGAGAAGTTTCAAACATCCCACTGACTACAGCCATGGGCTCATTTATTCATTGTTAAAATTTATGCCAGGAAGAACACTATGTAGAACATCACACTACATTCAGGAGCACTCTTTAAGAGAGTGCAGGTAACAAAATCAACTCTCATACCACAGATATATCAGAATACTTTCCAAACATACTGTCTCGCTGTCTTAACATTTTAATAAGCAGTGCAAATAAAATTGATATTTATAACTGGATTCAGGGAAAACTGGCACATAAGCTATAACTCAATTATAAACATCCATAATTTGGAAGCACATCTTCCAAAGAAAGAAATTTAATTACAGCTCCATCACTTCAGTGTAGATAGTCCAAGATTTACAGTATCAGATGTTTCTGAAGAAGTTGTTTCACAATGCTTTCAGCTTACTGAAGTTCCATCTTCCCAGGGACCGTGAAATTAAAAGGCTGCCTTTATAGCTAATGTGATTAGACATTCATCCCAGATCAAACTCAGAATAAATTTTGCTCTCAGCTCAGGAGCTCTGGGGACTGTTTTCCAAAATCAGGACTGAAATCTTTCATCACAAAATAAGTGCTCTCTCTCACATGTGCAAATTCAAAAGCCAGTTCTGGCTGTGTCAGGTTGCTAGGTAAACGAGAAACCTTCGCCTGCAAATCAGGTATGAAGTGTCAAGTCTTGAGTTTACCATTTGTATATAGCAACGTGCAGTTATGGAAGATCCTGGGTAATAAGTGAGCTGTGCTGAGGAACACATAATTACAAGCTCTGTTTAATTGTGGTGTGGGCAGCATTTGATCTCCTTTGCTTGAAATAAACACCTACCAATTTTCACTTCTGTGAAAAATGCAATTTGTTTTATAAGGAATTTATAGCATATGCAGAAAAATTTTCTAATCTCAAACCAAGTATTTTGTAATTAAGATTGATTTCTAGATTAATTTCTAACATTTATTTTTCATTTGTTTATAATTTTTAGTAACTCCAAACTGAAATTGTCCATCCTTGCCTTCCAAGAATAAGCAATGCCTTATCCCGAGACATATGAATAAATTCTCATTTGTGAGAGCTGTTACCCTTGTAATGCTGAGGTGTTCCACTTGAGATGTCTGCACTTGCATTAATTCAAACTGCAAGAACTCGAAATGTTACACATTAACAGCTTTTTTTTTTCTCTCTCCTCCACTCCCATTATTTTCTTTTATTTCTTCATTATGAAGACAAACAACCTAAAGTGGAAAATTTACTTTTCAGTTTGTCATAGACATCAGCATTTAAATATAGGGACAAGTTCCCCATATACAACATGCAAAGGCCTGGATCACCTCTTAGCTCCTTTGTCTGGGTCAGAAGTAAGTTCCTATGGCAAAATCTTTTGTAAGTATTGTGACCAATAATCACTAAACCTGGATTTCATAAAATCTGAGCTGAAAAAGCAAAGGTTGTAGATGACTTCTTTCCCAATACCTAGCAAGTAGGGATGCTTTTCTCCCCTCCTTGGTATATATCATAATGGTTTTCTACTGCCCTATATCCATTAAATGCCACCACTGATTCAGGCTGAATGTTTTATGTCTAATATGTAGATTTAGTTCCTCACTTTCCTTAGTTCTTGATGTAGCTTAAATGGCAATGAAAAATCTCCATTTATTCCCAAAACTGTAGAAGGGCAGGGCTGCAAATTCAGAAGATACCTCTTCATACAGTGGGACCTCCCAATAAAAAATGATACTGAAAAGAGACCAAAAGAGATTTTCACCACTTAACTCTATTGTCTACAGGAAGCTTCTTTGGTAGCTATATACATTCCAAAGGAGAATTAAAAAGTATCTGAATTTTACTTCAAATCACATTTTTATAAATTATTTACTCATTTTTAGCCTAGAAAAGCTATGACAGAAGTCTACCCAGGTGTCGAATATTTACAGAGGCAGCTGTTTCCTGCTGATGAGAATGAATTCTGGATATTCTCCTGTTCACAGGAGGATATAGGAGATATTTTCTCAGCCAAGCAACACCACCATATCCTTTTACAGCAGAAAATATTACACTTCTGCAGCAGAAAGGGGGCAACAGACACTTGCATTGCAGCAGTGCCTCTTCCATTCAGCCATGAGCCATCGAGACTTTTGCAATGACACAGTCACTCGAGAAGGAGGAAAGGCCCCCTTACAACTAAGGAGCATATTGTGTTCTAAGTTCTCTGAAGCTCACTTCTGCTCTTGTAACTAGACTGTTCCCTGTGTCATCTTGGACCGAATGCCAAGCAAAACTAGTGTTTTGAAAGAATTTTTGAAGTGTTTTGCCAAAGCTTAGCAACGAAAGAATGGAAAGATCACAGCATGAAAATCCCTGTGGCACCACCATAAACCACATATTTTTCAACCTGAAGCCACAGTTTAATCATAACACCTTTCCCATCTCAGTTCCCATGTCAAAACAAGTATTTAGCCAGGCAAGCACAGACAGACACATTCCAAAACTATAAATCTATAACTGGGCATTTTTCCTGTACTAAGGAAATTCAATTCAATGTTCTAACCAAGCTTTGCCACAATTTTGAAAAGTGACAAAAATTTACGACAGTCTATCTTGGCAAAATATGCTGTTAGCTATTTAAGACCAATAACACTTGATATTTTCCATAGAGAAAGA